AGAGCGGTTAAGTCATGAAACAGGTTGCCCAGAATGGTTGTGGAATTTCAGTTTGCTTGGACAAAACCCTGAGCAGCCTCATCTGACTTTGAGTTCCTGCTTTGAGCAGGTTTTGGACTTGGTGGGCCCCGGAGGTCCCTTCCAACCTCAATTAACTTACAACTCTTTGATTCTAAGAAGAGGTCCACAGGAAGAAAATGTGGGGATGCACTGCATAATTCACTCTGCAATGTGCAGCACAGAGATTCCCTCTGGCAGTAGGAGAACTATTCATGGGTGTGGTGGTGAACCAAATTCTGTAACCCTCTTTTATCTCTTCCATTGTAGCAGCTTCCTCTTCATTTCCTGAGACATTTTGCACTGGATTGTGAATTCGTTTCACTCCTCACTTTGTTATGAAATAATGTAAATCTTTTGACTTTAAAGGCATTTTTCAAAATGGTTTGGTAAAAAAACTCTGCAGGAAGGAGAGGAATTAGAGGCGAATTTGGTAGAAATGCTACTCATTTGTCTCCACCAGAAAGTTTAGGATTACAGTTTGTCTACTCTGTTCTTAAACTCTATTCTTAAGACTTTGTCAAAGAGATTAGCCTCTTACATAGGAATTCCTCTTGTGCAACACAAGACACTGTGCCCGGGATAAAGGCGCATGTTTGTCTAGTGTTCTTGTAACTGTCATGTTAGAATAATTTCAGTGGGCACAGAAACCTTGCAGAAGGATTGTTAGTTTCCCAACATTGTGGTCCAGAAGAGGTTTCTCCTTTCCAGACTTTCCGTTCTTTATGTTCTCATTTCAGGATGGTAGCTCAGTTGTGTGCTCTGCTGTATTGGTATTACTGAGAGTGGTTCACATTAGGCAAGATAATTTGTGTAAAAAGGCAATTTAGAGTTTAGTGCAGGATTTTGAAGAAGCTGGTCTTTTAAAGCCTTGGCGGTGGGAAAGAACAAGATGAGTGTGGAGTAAAAAAAAGGAGAGATTTAACTTGGACAAAGATGGAAGATCTCAAACAAATAGAATTTGGGAAGAAAAAAAGCTTTAAAGTACAAATGTTTCTACTCAGACACTGACATATTTAGTTTCCTTTCTGTAGCTAAATAATAAAAGCCAATCGGTATTTGATCCCATAGTTGGTGTCACTGGATTTTTTTTTATGGAGTTACAAGTTGTTTACTATAGGCAAGTACTCACAGCTCAGTGTAGGAATTTTGTATTAGTCTAAGCACACAGGTGCTCCTGAGAGACTGGAGAACATCAGATCAGGAGCTTGTACCAACCAAGGACATTTGAAAACCACTGACATACAAAGTTCTGTTAATTCTACAAAAGTATCCAATTTCAACTATTATTTTTTTAAACAATAGTTAATTTAGTTTGTAAATGCATTCACGTTTGTCCTTTTTTTTAAGGGGATGATATAATCTTTGAAGATGAAATTGAAGCATTGCAAGTACAAGTGAATAAACTTATTGGTATGGGAGTGAACAAAATAATTGCCCTAGGACACTCTGGTTTTACCGTTGACAAGAATATTGCCCAGAAAGTGAAAGGAGTGGATGTTGTGATTGGAGGACATACAAACACATTTCTCTACACAGGTATTTTACTTCTTACTAAAATGTTGCTTCTAAAGCAAACCTGAAACTGATTGTTTCCTCTTCAAAGTTGGGGGACTTTCACAGATGTAGTTTACTGCTGGCTGTGCTGGTGCAGATTCACAGCTGGTACCTATCCATAACTTCAATGGAAGAACTTAAAACAGTGTGTGAGCAAGAAGTGCCTAAACTCACTGAGACGTTCCTTAATGCTGTGGATGTTGAAGGTGACCTAAACGAAGTGAGACAGAGGAACAAAGGTAGTAATACTGGTAAATTGCTGCCAAACTTATTGTCTCTGTTTCAAGATGAAGTACTGGGAATCTAAACCTGAAACCCTGAATCAGAGTTGACACGTGGATGATGCCCACAACCAGGCAAGACAGATCCTCCTCTTGGTTTTCTCTCAAAGCCTGGTCAACCTTGGGTGAAAACCAGCTAGGAAATCACCACCAGGTCCCTGCCTTTAGAATCAACATCAGGTGTCCTGCCTCTAAAGTTAACAGTATAAAGGCTGGCTCTGCTTGTAGTGGGTGGGGGAGGTTTTTGGTGGTTTTTTTGGTTTTTTTTTTTTAATGTGGGGTTTGTAGTTTTTGGAAGGGCTTCTGGGCTGCTACAAGCAGAGTTCCCAGTGGTGGTGGGAGAACTTCATAACCAGGACAGGAAAAGGATTATGTATGTAATGATGCTGTTTCTTGGCAATTACTGTATGACTGGAATTGGGCTGATGACCTGGCTTATTCCTTGCCTTATAACATGGCTTCTGATTCAGCTTGCTCCTTTCTTTGCTTTCTCATATACTGTGAGTGGATGTATTGATCTATTCCTCTGGTTGTTAGCCAGCTTGTGTCTTCTGTAGATACTCAGGAATGGGAGGGAAAGGTGTAGCCTGTGTGCTTCCTATTGATGGCAGTGTCCTTCCTACTGGGGCATGCAGTCAGCAAAAAACAAGCTCATACATATCAAAGAGTGAAAAAGATTTTTACATTTAACCTTATATGTGACTTAACAAAAAAAATCAGTCATATAAGACTTCAAAAGTGATAGCGATGTTGATTGTCTATAGAACCTGATTCTCTATTTATAGATCTCCATTAGTCCTGTTGTTAAAAAACTTTAAAAATTTTCTCAAGTTTCCTCTGTCTTTTTCAGACCCTCTTCTAATCTCTGACTTTATTTTTCTTTCCCCTAGACATCATTCCAGAGATAAATGTTGTTGATCTCATTTCTTCTGCAGCAATGCTACTTCAGGTAGAACCTGCCATCAGGAGCCTCTCCAATGCTGCTGTCTTCCCTGTGTTAGTGTGTAAGGGCACAAGTAAAAGAAAGGCTGTTTGATGATTTTTTTTTTTTAAAAAAAAAAAGTCAAAGATAGCTCAATGCATTTGGCAGAAGCTTCATTAACTGGTTGAGAGTATAACAGGAACTCACTGTCATTTTCAGCAGCTTCCCTTGTGCCCCAGTTGCACGGTTAGCACCATGTACCCTAGGAACCATTTAAAGGTTTTATGCTGTCTGTTTCATCCTCTCCTCTTCCTCCTCATCTCCTCTCAGTTTCTTATGCTTTTTTGACCCATTCGGGATCTCACCTTCTACTTTCCAACTTGTTAAACAACTGTATGCTACAGTTCTACTTTAAAAAGTTCAGAATATCTCTTCAAGTTGGTCTCAGGGAATAACTTAAGACACAAAGCACTGACACACCTGCAAGCCAAAGGCTGCAACAGGGAAGTGGTCAAACCAGAACAGGCAACAGGACTGACCATCCCAATGCCTTTTCCTCAAGGGTGGCTGAAGGAGAATGGTGAGGGAAGAACAGACAAGCCTGTAGAGATGCAGTACTCAAATCTGCTCACTTCTCCCACCAGCTTGCAGCTCAGGGACTTCCCAAGACAGAATTGATATCTTGGTATTTACTAGTTCCCACTGGAACTTCTCTTCCCTAAGCTTGCACCATCTTCCCTGTCAGCCCCTTCAGCCTTTCACCTTCACAGGAGCTGGTGGCAGGACATTCTACTGCTGACCTGCATGTCCTGCAGAGACCTTGGTCTCCTATCTGTGTGAAGCCTGGTGCCCGCTAGCAGCATATTTTAGCAGTTTTCTTAAATTACTTTAAGATGGGAAAAACAAGGAAGCACACATTATTCAAAGTGTGCATTTGTCATGGGTTTACACAGTGAAATCCAGATCCTTTTGCTTGTTGGTCAATGCCTCTAGAGAGTTTGTGCCTTAAAGTAGTAGTCATAGTAGCCAAAACTCCTCATTGGGTGTGGTTCAAAGAAGTTCACAGTTTGGAATCATGATGTGAGGTGCTCCAGGAGTTGAGATACCCAAGTTCATATGCTGTCTAGTTCTGTAGGAGTTCACATGCAGATTTCTTGTCATCCTGGAGCTGTCAGACCAGACCAGGTTAAGCTGTTCCATCTCTCTCCATTAGAAGCTGTCTAGGATTCACAGGCCCAGAGACAGCACTCAGAATGGGGCTCTGCAGCCCTCAGGTTAAAGACCTGAGCTGGAATTGGGTTCTGGTCCCTGTTCCAAAGGTCGTACCATTTTGATAAAACAAGTAGGTCTTTTTTATTAACAGTGGAGAGGTTAGAAAAATAAAAAATAAGAAGAAATATCTGGTGGAGGTACACCAAAAAGTATGTATCCACTTAATTGGTCAAAATATGTTTTTATCTAGAATGTAATCTGAGCCCCAAATTTTTATTCCAGTTGCTGAGAAGCACTTGGTGATCCATCCAGGAGCACCAGGCATCCATTTTTGAACCACTCCTTTCTGAGTCAAAACTCTCAGCCAACATTCACAATGAAATAGCTGCATCTGTGGAGGTGATTTGACTACAGAGTAAAGCATCTAATTTTCAGTGTCTCTGTATCTATGTGTACATGAAGCCTATAAGGTCTCATTTAAATCAGTAGAGATTTAATCAATAACTGGCAGCAGAATTTGGGAGACTGTTTCAGCTTGATCTAAGGGGAGACATACCAGCTGGTCAGCTGAATCTCTGGTTGTCATGGTTGTTGGGAGATATGCTGCTTGTGCAGACACCTCCATAGAGATATCTTAATATAAGGGCTTAATCTAGGACTAGTCCAACCTATCTGTCTATAAGACATTTGCAAATTTCCAGTTTATCCACGGATTATGTGGCAAATATTGCCTTGACTTGTTCAGTTGTGGTTTGGGTTTGTAGAACTGATCCAAACAGTAATGGTAATTTTAGGTTAGAGCATTTACTTTCTGGTGTTCATCAGAAAGGAGGTTCTGATAAGGTAGTATGCTGGCAAAAATGAGGTAAAAAAATAGGAAAGTGTTACAGGTTCTTCAGTTGCCCAGTATGAATTTGTGCCTTTATAATAAAACAGCATCTCACACTTTGTGTGTGTGAATTCTAGTGCCGTTTTCTTTGGGGATAAGATGCACCGAAAATTCTTTTTCTTTCAGAAGGAACACATCTATCCTAGAATGTTTCATAGTGCTGATTAATTAATACTGTAAGAAAGCATCGGTATCAGAAAGTATTTCTTCAGAAAGCAAGAAATGAATGAGGCTCTGGTGAGCACTTAACCAAATGCAGCTGGTGTAAACTAAAATGATGACCTGGAAGCAAAACTTTCTCTTGCTAACGCTCTGTTCATCTGAGGGCTGCACAAGGGCAAGAGATCAAAACCAAGTCCTTTCTCAGTTCCAGAAACCCCAAAGCCACTTTCGTGTGCATAAATCCTGTAGAGTTCTCATTAGCTACAGGATTTCTTAAATTCTTCCCAAAATAAATATTGAATAGTGAAGAGGCACCATCAAGAAATCAACTCTTGGACAGCTTGAAAGTAGAAAAATGGAATTTCCTGTTAACTGTGGTTCACCTTGTAGTTTGTTACAGCCATTCTTCCTGGAGAAGTGGAATGATTAGAGGTAAATATAAATAACGTTGGAGTTCTAGGAGGAACATTTGTCATGCTGCTTATTCCAGGATTTCATACTACATAAACAACTGTAAATGGAAGGAAACCAGTTGTTGTGTGAGCACTGGAAGCGAGGAGCCTGTTTTCCTCCGGACCCATGTCCTCGGTGCCCTGTCCCTCGCACCCACGCCCTGCTGGCACCCCGCTGCTCGCCGTCGTGCGGATGGGCACCGCGCCTGGCTTTGGGACAGGCGTGGAGGGGGCTCTGCAGTGGGGCCTGCCCTGCGGCACGTGGCGCTTCTCAGAGCTGCCCAGCCTTCGTCTGTGCTGACAGCGGGGTAGAAATACCGATGGGAATAACAAGGAGGAGTGATGCTACTCAGATGGTATTGTCAAGGAGACGGGGAGAAGGCTGGTGCCCCAGAGACAAGAGCTCTGCTGTGTAGTTTTCTTTGCTGCTGTCCTCTCCCCTGCATGGTTTCTAAACCCTTTGATAGCCTGTGCAGATTGAGCTGAGATCTCTTTTGTCTGTAAAAGCCTTGCTTTAATCTGTTTCTGAGTTCTCCATCTGACCACCATTCAAACTTTGCAGGTTGGTAAGAGTTTTAAACCCATGACAACCTAGCTCTAATGCTATGAAGTTTGATTTGCAGAGGGTTTGCAGCCTGTCTGAAATTTTGGAGGCTGTCAGGATAGTAAAAAAAAAAAACCCATCAGTTGAGTGTACACACAAATCCATTGAACTGCTTGTAGGTTTTCTGACTGCATATTAACAGTACAAATATTTTAGACTTTCTGATATCAAGAAGTCCTGTGCATGTTTACTAACATTCTCATTTTCGATCTGATGCAGAACAATGTAGTGTGAAGGCTTAACAATAAACTTTTCAGCCAGAGCCTGGTATGTGCGCATTACTGAGAGTTTTAGATTGAAATAATTGGAATGAAAAGTTCCTTTGTTGTTCTTGTGACATGATGTCATGGAGGAGTGTGCTATCACAACCTAAAAAACACTCTGGCAGCTCTTAGAGCCCGTGTCCTGAAAACAGCATTGTCTCTTAAGAAATAACATAACTGAGCAATCAGCTGCGTGCTTGTCAGCCAAGAGATTCATTGTTGTTTCTGCTTAATATCCTATTTATATTTTTTAAGGCTGAGAAACGTTTGAAATGTCATTCCAATAATTCCTCGAAAGTCACATTTGCTGAAGACCCGCTGTACATGCTTGTTCCACGCAGGCACCCCACCGTCTACTGAAGAGCCGGCTGGCCCATACCCCTTCCTGGTTGTCTCGGATGATGGGAGGAAGGTGCCTGTTGTACAAGCCTACGCTTACGGGAAATACCTTGGGTACCTGAACGTTACATTTGACAAGAAAGGAAACGTGGTTGAAGCCGTTGGCAACCCGGTTCTACTGGACAGCAGCGTTCCCGAAGGTAGGTGCGGTGCGGCGCCCGCCTGAGCCTGCCTCGGGCAGAAGCTCGGCTCCCCCGGCCCCGCCTGCGCTCCTCTCTGCTGTGGCGTTCCGGCTGCGCTGCAGCTGTGCCCGTTTGCCTCTGCTTCTCCTTCTGAATCCTGCCTTTTGAATATGCAAAAATTCAGTGTCTGGTTTTCTCTAAAATCACTGAAAGGCCTTTTGTGGAGCCCGGGTGATACATCACCTTGCCGTTTAGCAGGCGCTGTTCTAGCTAGCCCTGTAATTATGATTTAAAAGATGATGAGGACTGATTCACACTCATTTTCCAAGGGCTGTGTCTTCAGAACAGAGTTTAGGGCGATATAGGAAAGTGGAAGTACTAAAAAAAAAAATAATAAAAAAAAATAAAATACTCCGGCAATGTGCAAATATAATAACAGCTTCTTATTTTCAGTGCTGAGTGTGTTCAGTGTTAATGCTCTGAAATGTTTAAAGAACTGTGAGGGGGAGTCTCTCTGCTGCTTTCAGTTTTTAACTCTGTCCAAGCTCCGTTACCTGCATTTTGTCGGCTCTGTAATTGCACGAGGCTGGTTCTCTAGTCTTTATTTCTGGTCCAGTGTTTGCTATGAAGCTCTGAGATTTTATCAGACTTCTTACGTTCTGCTGGAGTATTTATAAAATAAATCCTTTAAAAGTAATGTGTGCATATATATTCTTATTTACTATGTTATTCTTGGTGATCTATTAATGCAACAAGATGATATAAAGAGACTTCACATTCTCTCTCTGATGCCAGTAAAAGTAAAAAATCAGATACATAGGTGTTCTTGTTTTATAAATGTTGCTGTTGCTGACAGTTAACCCGGCAATTTGCTTAAAACTAACAGCTGATCTAAAACAGTTGTGACAGTACCTCTCTGTGCATACAAGTATCTTTGTACCTGTTTGGGTTGGTTGGTTGGTTTTGTTTTTCTGAAAGAATTAGATTGCACCTGGCAGACAGATGTGTGTAGAGAATTAATTTCTACAGAACGTTTATTCCTTGACATTGGTATTTGAGCTAGTATTCCTTTTAGCACTACATTAAAGGGGAAGAAGCTATAATTAGAAAAAAATCCCAAAGATATGTCCAATAAGGACCAAGCTCACTTTTATGTTAAAAATGCTAGCATAAAAGCTCTCATCTGTAAAGGCATATGCTAAAAACCCCATTGGTCAGAGGTTAGAACAGGACTGGGCAAAAATATTTTTTTAGTGTTACAGAGGAACTGACCTTGCTGTGGCACAGGGGTAGCTTCTTCACTTGATTGTCCCATCCTGCCTTCTCCCTTTACAGGCTTTGTTTGGAGTGGGTGTAGATGACATGTGGCTTGGAGAACCTTTAGGGAAGGTGTAATGTTTTAGAGTCATGAGGAACCTGGCTTTTTCCTACGCTTTGTATTCACTCAGGTGTCATTAATGTGAGATACATGTCGTGCTTATTTTACACTTTTGTACTACTTTATAGATGAGTCCATTAAAGAAGAAGTGGAAAATTGGAGGAAACACCTGGGGAATTATTCTAAGGAGATTGGAAAAACTAGTGTTTACCTGAATGGTACAAGCCAGGCATGCCGTTTCCAAGAATGCAACATGGGAAATTTGCTGTGTGATGCTGTGGTAAGACATTGCCACCACAGGTGGCAATCACTTCTGACTGTTACTCCAGAGTTACCATGGTTAAATGCTCCCAGGCTCTGAACTTTCAGTGCATGGGCTCTGTGCTCCTCTCCAACACTGTAACAACATTTAGTGCATCCCTAAGAAGATTTGGAGAAGCAGGGCTGTAATGAATCTTGCTACATAGAGTAAGGAGTGGTTTATCCTGGCTTTAACAGCCAGGTAACACCAGAAGGGCTCTTTACAAGAAGTCACTGCCAGTTTTTATACTAGCTGGTTTTGTTTTACTCTCCCAGAGTGGCACCATTTCCTTTGGGTGCTCCAGGGAAAAACATTCACTAACCTGACTGTTGCCAGAAAACCAACATTGCCATAAATGTCCTGCAGCATGGCCACACAGTCAGGAGCCAATTAATAATCATGGGTTTTCATTTAGATATCTCCCCAAAGCTACTTAGTCCATCTGATTGCTTTTATTGTAATCCTTAAAATAATTCTTTGTTTATGGGCTAATTTCCAAATTAAATTAAGATTTGGGAATTCTGCATATTATTCTGCTAAAATTTCAGTGCCTTGCTTTTTCTTCATGCTAGACTTTTATATTTTTATTTGAAAAATGTCATCAAATCCTTTGGCATTTTTCAAGATTAAAGAAAGTAACTCCGTAATCTTTCAGAAGTTTGTAGATTTTCTTGCTATACATTTTGTCTTGGGAGGTGAAATTCCATTTTAGTTCAGTTGGTGTCTCTAGACAAGCACCTGCAGTCATAAGTAGATACATGGATTACCCTTAATGTTCTTTGCCTGTTCTACACTTGCTTTCCTGTCTGCTGCCATGCATTCAGGGGGAGGAAGGTCAAAACCAGACCTGTCTGTTCCACAGGCTTTAATATTTAGAGTTGTCCTGGGAAATGTAGAGATTGAAAAATGTAGAAGATTGATTAAACGGTTGTACTGGGTCAAAACAGAGGTCCATTTAGTTCAGTGATGCTTCTCCAACAGTAGCCCAAGATCTTAGAATAAAAGGTTGACAGATCCAGATGGCATTTTAATAAGGACTTTAAAGGAACTCAACTGCTTGTGCTCAAGACTGGAAAGTTGCAATCAGTTATGAGTTAGGAACTTAAGATTATCTCACAGATCTGGTCTTAGGGAGTAACTTTGTCCATGAAGCTGGAGCCACAAAGTATTTACACACCTTCAAGTCAGAGGCTGCAAACAGTTAGCATAGGGGTGCAGCAGAGAAGTGGCCACGTTGGAACAGACGACAGGACCATCCGTCCCTACATCCTGTTCCCAAGAGTGACCAAGAGAGGATGATAAGGGTAGAGGGTATGCCTGGGCAAGCCTGTGGAGGTGTTGTACTCAGATCTCTCCCTGTCTCCCACCAGCTTGAAGTTCAGGGACTTCCCAAGCCAGAACTGGTGTCTTGGTATTTACTAGCTACAGCTGGAACTTCTCTTCCCTGAACTTGCCCCATCTCCCTTTGACTGCCTTCAGCCTTCACAACAGTAAATCCCTGGTCTCCATTTTCTTTACTACTTAGGATGCCACAAGCAAATACTATTTTTTCTTTATACTAAAAATACTAAAAAAAATTTAAGAGAAGCTGAAAAATTTTGATTCCCTGCAGCACACTGCAAGAACTAAATTAATTTATACATTCCTCTACATGTTTTTAATGCACTGCTCTTCACTTCCCCATTCTCCAAATATGCTGAAATCATTTATAACAGTTGCTGGAATTAAAAAAAAAAAAAAAAAAAAAAAAATCATCCTTCCTTACACACAGGCTATGGGAGAGTCTGAGAGTTCATTACAGAAAAAGGCAAATATTGTTCTTGTTAAAAGTTTAAAAAAGGTAAATATTTTAATGTGGTTTGCTCTGCATTTTTTTAATAATGCAGCATTTTGCAGTGAGGCTGAAGGTAATGTCAAAGAAGGTATGAAACCTTTTTGTCTCTTTTCAGCCTCTGGTTGTATCGTGTGTACATTTCCAGAGCCCAGACTAAGTAAACATTACAAATCAGTTTACACGTTGTCCTTTTTGTAGCTTCACGAGAACGTTGGACATCCGGATAAGAAGTCATGGAGCCACGTTTCGATGTGCATCCTGAACGGCGGTGGGATACGGTCACCCATTGATGAGCAGAGCACGAATGGTATGTACAAGTCCAACCTGAATGACAGCTTGGTCAGGAAGGAAGAACCAAGCTGTCGTGCAAACCTGAACGAGGTGTTAGATATGGGCTTGTTTTGATGTGATCTGCACAGTGTTTGGAAGCTATTTCAAACTGTCTCAAATGCTTGTCAATCATTAGTGCACAACTGCACTCAGAGTGACATTAATAGAAGTTACTAGCATTGTTTGTACACAGTGCTTTTTATAATTTCCCTCTCTCCTTGCTGCCTTGGAACAAAGGCAGACAGTGGATATTCGTCATCTACTGTAGAGGGTTAACTGGTATGGTCACTGGGAGCCTTCTGTAGAATAAGGAAATTCTGGGTTTTCTGAATGCTACAGTTTTACAGTTTTTACTTTCCTCATACCATACAAATGAAACCTTAAAAAAAAACACCTTCAGTTTAGCTAAATCTTTCTGTAGAACTATGAGTAAATATTAAGCAATTGAGGAGATTGCTTGACTTAGAATAGCTGTTTCTTCATTTCAGATTGGTGGTTTGTAATCTCTTTTGGTAGAGTTATTTGAATAGCAATACGGACAGTTACATCAAACTCAGATTTGTTAGTCTTGATACTTGCTGGATGATAAAGACACAGGTCCTTTGATTGGGATGATATATGTGATTCTCACCTGTACTGGCTCTCATTTTCTTAAATTGTATTTGCCATGTTCCTTGTCAAACTTCTGTTAAACAACCCTAAACTAATTTTGTAAACTTAAAAAAAGGAATAAGTAAATAGAGTCTCATTCCTCCCCCCCAGGCAGCATTACTGTGGAAGATTTGCTGTCTGTTTTGCCATTTGGAGGTCGTTTTGATTTGGTAAGGGTAAAAGGCTCCACTCTGAAGGAAGCTTTTGAGCACAGTGTGCACAGATATGGAAGAGGAAGTGGAGAGCTGCTGCAGGTTGGAGGTATGTTTTTTTCCATCCTCTTCTCAGCTTTCCAGCTGGTCACTTCAGCAGAGACAGGGTTCCCAGTTGGTTCAGTAACCCATGATGGCACCAGTTTAACGCTTCAGTTAACTACAGAAAGAGAGATTCTTCACTGGGAGGGTGGTGAGACACTGGAACAGGTTGTCCAGAAAAGCTATGGATGCCCCGTCCCTGGAAGTGTTCACGGCTAGGTTGGCTGAAGCTTTGAGTAACTTGATCTAGTGGAATTGTGTCACTTGACCGTGGCAGGAGGGTTGGAACTAGAGGATCTTTAAGGTCCCATCCAACCCAACCTGTTCTATGATACAGCTGAGTATAGCTGGAACACAGTAATAGCTACAGCAAACTTCAGGTTTCAGTTCTTCATTGGCAGCCTACCTGAAACTCCAGACTGGATGTCTCTGCCAGTTATTGTCAAATTTTATTTTAGCAAAGTCATTTTGTGCCATTGTCTAATGATTGCTGACAGTTTTAGAGTCAGTCCAAGTGGGCTATAGGATTGTTCCAGTGAATTTCTAAATATTTTAGGGATGAACAGTTACTATTAAAAACATATGTATTTCTTGATTTGCAGCTCCCCACATATTTATCCAGATGTGTGCTAGGCTACAGTCGTGTTTATTCCTGGTCTGTCTGTGATGCAGTGCAGATTTTATTGTTTAGTTAGCAGAAAATCTAAACTTCCCTCTTACCATGCCTTTCCTCCCACTTAGCGTGGTGATGAGGCCCCTGTCCCCATGATCTAGAACCCCCACAATCCATGTCTCACACTTTCACCAGTAAGTTACTGCGTTCTTGGGCACCACTAAGGTGAAGCAGCAGCAGCCCCTCTGCTTCTTTTGTCTCCTCATGGGAAAAGGAGATAGCTGGTAGCTCTGGAAATGATCAGGACAGAAGATCCAGCGCAGGAAGAATGCCAGGACGGGAAGAGCTTCTGTGCTTTGGATGAAGTTCAGGGGCTTCCTGATGAGGAAATTATTGGCAGTGGTGTTGTAGAGGCCTAACTTTGGGCAAGCTTTAACCGAGGAAGGCTCACAACCAGGAGTGGTCCTTCTACAGTGAGTAGAAATGGCAACCTTCCGCCCTGGCCTGGCTTTCTTTTTTCAGGAGAGTACCTATTATCCATAATAGCTGCTAAGTCAGTGTGACTGGCTGGCTTTAGAGGAACTCATTTCAGCCATGAAGCCAGGGGAATGAGAAAGCATATGACTACAAAAATAAGGGAAGGTATTTTTATCTTGCAGTATCCTCATCCCATGACTAGTATAATTTCCTTCTGCAGAGTAGTGACAAGAACAGACAATCAGATTAGTAACTGAGGTACTGCTGTAATTCTCTAATCTCACAAATTTTCTTGCATAAAAGTTGAGTCTTATGCAAGGAAAATAGGGCATTAACTGCTGCAATTCAGAGCGATGCAACCTCTCAGCCACAGAAGCTGATATAAAGAATCAGCTGGAGATGGTGGAGGATGCTGCTTCTAGCCTTTGATGTTCAATAGGCACTGCCTAAAGTGACATTTGAACATATATTTTTGTAGGCATCCACGTGGTCTATGATGTCTCCAGAGCCCCAGGAAGCAGAGTGGTTAGTTTAGAAGTTCTTTGCACAGCCTGCCGAGTGCCAGCCTATGTCCCACTCCAGATGGATGAGATCTACAACGTGACTCTCCCGTCCTACATGTTGTTTGGAGGAGATGGCTATCACATGCTGAAAGACAAAAATCTGGGGTACAGTAAAGGTAAGTATGGTCACCAACAGGGTAGCACACAATTCCCAAAAGTTAAAAGACCCTTCTATAGTACCAGTCTCAGATTTTTTGCTTTTACTGGATAGATTAAATTTGCTTCTAATTGGACTGCCTTGGATTGCTAGTTTTGGTTGGAACTGTATCCTTTTTCAGTTAAATCACAGAGGTTTCAAAGAGAAACTGACCCTTATCAGTTCAGCACTACTTAGAGAGCAGTTCTGAGAGCATGATAAACCAGAAAAAAAAAAAGCAAAAAACACACTATAGAGAGTACATATTACATGTACTGCCTTACGCTTGTACTCACTACTAAACAATGCATCAAAAAGAAAGGTGTTAGTTGCTTTAGACCTTAAATTTCCATTCATACAATTTACATGTACATCTTTTAAGACAAATGGAAACTTAAAAATATTTTTGAGGTTAAAATTAGTTCTTTCTGATAACACAAAAGGGATGTAGTGCTGTATTTAGAAGAAAAAAAGTATCTAGGAGCACATTACATATTGGAGAATTTTAATTTCGTATGTTCTGCTTCTGGATGGTAAAAGCATGCTTCTACCCAACATTTTCCTTTTGGACCTTCATGGCGGACTGGTTTTTTTTGTTCTACAGGGTATTTAAATGTAAAATTCGTTGTCATGGGTAGGATTAGGGTTTCAAATCAAATGGAGCTACAGCTTGTAAGTTTGGGGCAGCCGTAGTTTTCAGCAAGTATCTGTGTATGCAAAAATACATTCACATAGAAGGAAATCGTTACAAATAATGAAAGGGAATAACTTGAAAGCTTCTGTTAAAGTCTTCCAGTATAGCAGTTTATTACTTTTAAGTAATTAGTTGCACTTCAGGGTTATAACAGCTTGGATCAGAAGGAGCATACGACATGGCAGCAGTGTGAAGAGGGTCTTCCCCTGCGGAAAATCCACATTATACTTTGTGTGCACACAGCAGCACATAGACTAGAAATTTTTCCTTAAAAATAAATAGTTAAATTTGAATGGTACAGGCAATAGCTTTGCCAGCTCTACTCCAGACTGATGGGAGACTAGCTCCATCTGCTTAAATCTGACTGGCAGTTAGCATTGTAACAGATGCAAACATGAGATGTCAGAACAAGCGAGGACATCTTGCCTTCACTTTAAGAATTGAGCTAAACCTGCGATTTCAGACAGGTTCTTAAATTTTGGTGAAGAGCTTGGCTGCTGCAGAGAACACTCTACTTTTTTTGTTGGTTTAGGTGAACCCGATATTGAGGTTGTTTCCCGTTACCTCCAGAGAATGAAGAGAGTTTACCCAGCAGTTGAAGGTCGAATAAAGTTTTCTTCTGGAAGCCTCGTTGAAGCGAGTCTTACCCTGATGGCTGTAGCATTCACTGCAGCATTGCTGCACACGTGATTTTTGCTCACAATGTTCTTCTTTGGAGGAAGGAAGGAGGAGATGATGCTGACCAAGGGAAAAGAGACCTGTTCTCTTTATTACAACTCAAAATGAATGAGTGTTCAAGGTTTTTACATGTCATCAGTAAACACTAAATTGTCTTTAACCTGGCCGAGCCATTAAAGCACACTGCGCAGAATGAGCTGGCAGAATTCATGACTTTGGAGTTTGAATCAGCAGGTACCCACCATTCAGCCTGAGGTTTCAAGAAGCAAAGTGCCAGTGAATACTAATGATTTATCCTAAAACCACCACTGACTGGAAGAAATGAACTATTTTTAACTTGTCAAATTCTTCTATCTGCTTTAGATAGCGAGTTGATTAAGAATCTGATTCCAGTAATGTAAACAAGCGTCTGGAAATGGATTTATTGCAGGTGTATATGCCATTCTTTGATCTATACTCGGGGTTAAAACTTTCAATCTATTGAAATTCTGCTTGGCTTACCAGTCATATTTATCATACCTACACACAGAGCTGAATTGAGCTCGGTGTCATTAAAAGCATGAAGTCCATTTACATGCAGTTAAAGAAAGTTTTTCCCTTTTACTTTTTGAAGATGCAGCATCTCACTTTCATTTTCTGTTAATAAAGGATGCAATTAGCACTTGATTTGATGTTAATCAATTATAACAAATTGATTATATGTACTTCACTATTTAATATGACCAGTTTGGGGACTATATCTGGAGTGAGAACACAATCTATGATGATTTATATAAATATGCTCAATTTTACACCTTTTTCCAAAGACCAAAGCACAGGACTCCTGACTATTCCTCTGTATCAGCAACGTTCAGAGACAATGTCAGACACACTCATTGACTCCTGCAGCACTGTGGCAACCTCTGAATTATCCCAGAAATGTTTTGTTTTTTTTTTTTACAGTGTAACCTGGCTTTATGATAATTGTGATCCTAACTCAAAGGCCGTGTCCCTTCTATCTGAAGGCTCTATTTAAAAACTGCAGTTGTAGGAGACAAGCTGATGAGTATAAAATCAGATTAAATGCCCAGTGTACATTTCTGACACTTTATCAAGAAGTGACTGCTAATAAATGCGTGCAAATGATTATTTTTCTAAGATTGTTCACGTTTGGAATTTTGACAGCAATGTGTTTCTATGTGTTGTATTAAACAGATTATCAGTGTTCTGAATAAACTTGCTTTGTTTGTCTGGAAAGCACACAGCACTTTTTCAGGCTGGAGCTTCTTGCCTCACATTCACTGCACACCTGCAGGTTTCAAGGAGACAGGTGCACTAGGATAAATATCCAGCATGCTTAAAATTTCAAGACCTCATTAGTTTCCACATAAATTCAAGAGCTGTACATGAAAAGATCTCAACTATACAGCTGCATTAGGTCAGTTCTGTGAGAAGAGGGAGACAAACAACTGACCTTGAAACACGAAAGTTATAACATGGCATTGGTAATTTGTTTACAATAATAACTTTAGGGATTGGTATTAAGAACTATCTTCCCCAAATCAACATAAAACCAGCAGAAGAGAGTGCACTTATGGGCTGAGCTGTACCTGCATGGCAATTTTTAAAGAGTCATAAGGACTCCTTTGGCATACCCAGAAAGAAATAACGCGTTTACCGTCTTTTGACAAACAGAAGGAGAAGATAAGCAAAAGTAATACAGACAGGTAATGCAAACTGTATTGACAAAGAACACTAATACTGCATTAGATTGGTTGGTTTGTAAAAAAAAAAACAAAGGAGAAAATGGGTGTTGTCTGAAAAGAAAAACTGAGGAATGCCTATTAAAATACCTCTGTACTGTTTTGTGAGTAAAACTTCTTAAGAATCCACGCTCACAAGTCCTTTTCAAAGTCTCTTTTATAAAGGCTGGGCCAACAAATTTAAGATTTACATGAAAATTTTTCCGTATATTTTTGTAGATGAACACATTTTTAGAAAATGCTAAGAACAGACTCACATCCTCTCTTCTAGGCCTGTGAAGAGTATGTCATAAAAAAATTAGCAAACCCAAGTAAGAAACCACAGGAAAAAAAAGGCTAAGGTGAAAGTCAAAGCCCCTTTTCACACCCATTGTTAGAAGAGTCCTTTAGATTTGAAGGTCAGATATTAAATAAACTGAATTACAGACATGATTTTCCATGCTCATAGAAAGCATGAAGGCTAGAGATAGTTCTGAGATGATCTGTATGCAATAGATTAAACCACAATTTTGGTTAAAAAAAAAAAAAACAAAACAGTAATATTTGTTAGGATAGTTAAAAATAAGTTAATGGGAACATTCTACAACTTCTTCCACACAATTTTTCTACATATCCTTTGAGGACAACAACAGTAATTGCTCTTTTAGCAACACATACATTGGCTGATCTCCCAGCTGTTTTATTTTATGTCACTGTGTAATTTCACACACACAGATTTTGGAGAATTTAATATGACTTCGACTGATAACAGCTAAAGCAAATTTTAAGTAAAAAGTACAGATACATTATTTACTTGTAATTGGTATTAAATGTTAACGTCTTTATTGCATAAAGAGATTTTTTTAGAACTTAAATTTTATGTTATTTACAAGAAAATATACAATGCAAGGTCAAAATGTCACATGTCCATTACAACAGTGCACAGCAGATGTTTCTACTGAGTGTCCAGCGAGGTCCCTGCATTCACATCCAACATGACACAGAGCTGGCTTCCTTTGGACCCTGTTAAGCAGTAATGGAGAAGAAAAATAATTACTTACTAAGTTTGAAAATGCATATTTGCATATAAATGACTGGCCTGAGCTGCAATGATTAATGGTATTTGAAAACATCCACTTGAAACTAGAGTTAAGGAAGGCTACTGCTTTCAGGCTTTTAATAGTATTTCTTAAAATATTTTCTTCTTTCTCCGGAAGTTCTCATCTCCCCCCTTCCTAAGTGCTACATACAATTTTCTTAACACTGCAATCTTCTGCTCTAAAAATGGCACTGGCGCAGTATTTTTTTCATCTGGATTTCTTTCCTTCCTCTGCAAGGAATGCTTCTCCTCCCTCAGCTGTCCCTTCTCCTTGTATCAAAGGAAGGAAAAAAAAAAAAAAAAAAAAAGGCATTTTTCAGCTCTTATCCTTAAGAGCTCCTTATCCTTGAGCCTCTCTCAAGTGATCGGCTGCACAGCCCCGTGAGGCAGGATGTAACCTTCAACGCACCAGATCTCCAGAGTAGGAAGCAGAATGACATCCCTGCTGAGGAAAATTTTCCCATTTCTCCCATCACTGTTTCCCGTGCTGAAAACAGCAGAGCAGTCGGGCACTGTCACATGCAACGAACATCTAAACATTCAACATAAGTGAAGGGTGGGTTGGTTGGTTTGTTGTTTTTTTTTTAAATCTAGTTAACTAGGCAATATCTCCTGCTTACCATGAAGACCAAACTGTAAAATTACTGTGTAAAACTCTGTGAAGGTTTTAGGTACGTAAGTACAACTATCAGATGGAGCACAAACCTCATGATATGCATTTATGCAGCATTTTGTGCTGTGCAAGTTTTCTTTACCTGGATAGTTGAGTTAACGTTGCAGGAACCAAACGAGAGGTAAGAAGCACTCCCTGACTAATATTCTCAAGAAAAATGCTGAGGCTCAGCCTGAGCTCTGCATGCAGAATTCACTTCCTACATCAGAAAATCTATAAAATAGTGTGGAGAAAATCCACCAAGAAGAAAGCCACAGAGATCCTGACTGCTGATTGCTCTGTCCAATCCTACTGAAAGGCAGTTCTCTATGCTAGACAAATGGGCCTGAACTGCTGTGGAAAGAGCTAATTAACACAAATGTAAATAATCCAGATTTCAATGATTTCAACACATTACTAAAATACAGACTTCCCCCAAAATTTACAACTAATATTAGAAGGGAACAACAGCAAACATGCACCAACGATCAGACTCACTAGCTGCTTGAAGAATTCCGTGGCTCTTGAACGGAGTTAGCACATACCTTACTCAGCTCTGGAAACAGCTCTTGAATCCCGATGTCCAGCAGCACGTAAGTTAACTAAAAGAAAATTAAGAACGCTCCAAGGCAAAATTACCACTTTTTATTCTTAATACTCAATTAAAGCTTGATCCCATGCTATAGTCATAGATTCACTTCAGGAAATCCTGTGCCGAAAGGCAACTTCTGCACGTGATAGGAGTTACCTGTTTGTTGAGCACTGGTTGCTGCATCCCATCAAACAGAAGCCTGATGCCTTCATATTTAGCCTCTTCCCCAATGCACTTGCCTATTAAATCTAGACCAGATACCAACACCAAATACAGAAGTGATTAGGAAGCACTGTAATACAACTATCCAATGCAGTTACAGAGCTCTGGTAATTAAAAAAGAAGGGTAATTTAAAGAACGAGTTCAAATTCTATCTATCTAAAGTGGTAAATGGAAAAAAACACTTCTTTGATTCCTCCTTTTTTCCTCCCTTTCCTTGAGGGCTGCACATCAAAGTAATTTTAATAATAGCAATGTATCATCCTAGTGCATCCTAGTTTAATAAATCAGAAGATTACATGTTTTAATTACTTTCTGAATAACCTAGCAAATGGGCCCCTCTTCCCTAGGGTATACAGTGTGAAGAGCTCGATTTTATCTTCCGGCTTCACACTGTGCTTTTTTAAACCATTTTCATCTGCATAAAATACAAACTGTAGCAGCATTCTAAAGATGAAGAAATTGTGCTACTAAGTACATTGTAAAGCTCTATTTCCATCATGCTTTATTAATCACTATGCTGCAACCTCAGTCAGCAACACTTAAGTGATGCTTTTACATCTAGAAGCAGTGTTCTAGACAACTCAAACTTTAGCAGCAGAAGTGTTACTTGATTTGGAAAACTAAAGTGACTGTATTTAGGCTACGTATCTGCTTCAACAATTAACCATACTCATATCTGTATGAATCATGAAGTACAGAACCTGGAATGTATCTCATCATTTCCT